AGGGGGCAGGGCTGGCTGGCATGTGGTGCTGGGGGATTGAACCGCGGTCCCTGATGCTTTTGCTAAGCTTGTTCTAAATAGGTGCTTTAGACCACTGAGCCATCTCTCCAGCCCTAAGTAGGTGCTTTAGACCACTGAGCCATCTCACCAGCCCCAGTTTAGAGCATTCTTAAAGAAAATTCATATCCAAACAGTTTTTTGGTCTTCTCTAGAAGTCTTTACAACTTATGTTACACATTTATCCGAGTAATAAAATGTGGAAAACGTTCCAAGAATTCTAGCACATGGCTCAGTAGAATAAACTCTTCCTGGCAAGCGCAAGGGCCTGAATTCAATCCCTGGTTCCACAAAAAAAGAATCGTAGCTCCTCAGACTTAGTTTAATGACACATGCATAGATTTAAAATTATCTTTTGGGAGGGTCTAGAGAAAAAATTAGCAATAAAAACTGACTGTTCAGATCTTGGTTTCTAAATATACTCCAATGAAAGGAACTAAAATTCCTTCACTGAAATAGTTTCTTCAAGAGCTACAGTGGGGAAAAGATAAGATTAACTGAGAGCACTTTGTGGAGTCACATGACAGGAAAGTAGTTAAAAAAAAAAAAAGGGGCTATGTTGAAGGGATACAGAAGGCCACCTGAAAGAGTGTCCAATGGTTCAACAGGGAACAATGAGAGCAATAAAATGATAATTTAGGATTGTAAGTGGGAGAACTTTTATGAGCCTATAACTGATACGAAAACAGTAACTGAATAAGTAATGGGAAAAAAGGGATAGTTGTTCCTTAAAGAATACCAACTAATAAATATGGAAGGAATGAAAGAAATTGGAAAATCATTTAGCAAACACCAGAGTTAAAACTGCTGCGAGACTCATCAATGGATGGTAAAGTCAGTAGGAAAAAGAAGAAGATACAGGACATTTGTATAATGGCAAATATCTCCAGAAGGTATCAATTATAAAGAGAAACAGAGCCACTTCACAGTAGAGGAAATGGACAGAAATATTACATCACTAAGCCAACTAATCAAGGTTAATACCACCAGAACTGTCCTAACAGTACCACATGCCCTCTGTTAGTATACAGAGGGGAGCACAATGTCCTTTCTGTGGTAATCTTGTAAAAAAAAAAATGCATAGCTCCAATCCAATCATGAGAAAACATTCAATCCACCCAAACTGAAGTGATGCTATTTTTTTTGAGTTAGGGTCTTGCAGTTTATTTCAGGCTAGCTTTGAACTCACTATGGAGTACAGGCTGGCCCCAAACTTACAATGATCCTCCTGCCTCACTCTTCCCAGTGCTGGGATTACAGGCATATATTCCTATACCTGGCTGGATGACACTCTATGAGGATACAGTAGCCTTCTGTTTTTAGCCTTAGAATCTTTTGTTCAAAGATGACACAACAGATAAAACCAGAAATGCTGTAGATGAAGAATAGGAGATAAGGAGACCCCATTCAACTTGTTCAACTTGTGCTTATAATACTTTAAACAGTATACATGATATCAACTACTGATTTGGATAAATGTTAACAGTACTTG